CTGGGAGCTGTCTCCATGGCTTCCTCTTCACCATGCATTATTACTGCTCACAAAAGCCAGAATGGACAAATTCCCAGTCCATAGTATACTGCCTGCCATCGATTGATCGGTCAATCAATAGATTAATTATATACAGATAATGATGGATAAACATATTAATAAAAACATATATGTATTTCCTTATTTTTGCGGAGAAGCACTAGAAACATAAACCAGTATAACGAGTTACCTTTGGGGCATGAAGACATGGTGAGGTGGACAGGATGGGGAAAGAATGAGACTTCTCTGAATATACCTTTTTATAGAATTTTGGCTTTTGAGCCAGGTAAATGCTTTACACATTAAAATTTTTTTACTTAAAATTGAAAATGAACTGATACATAAGAACCTAACAGTATTCCAGATGGGTGCTGTGATCACAAAAGAATTCTTTCAAGTAACTTTGCAAACAGTTCTCTGAGTCGATGGCCTTTGTGAGAGAGTCTAAGGAGAGAAATACTCTGAGGAAACCTTGAACTTCACTCAATAGTTGTATTAGCAGTAACGTTGCTTTTGTCATTTTGAAACTATTTTAAATATGTTACTGGATAAATACATAATGTGAGTAGAATCCTACCTAACATTCTGTGTACGAGAAAATAGACACATGCATAAAATCAGCTAAGAAACGAGCTACTGTCAACTTTGGATTTGGAGGCACTTTTGCTATGAGGGAGTGACAGCTGGCAGCCTCACCATCCCCACAGACGGCTCTCGATGTGGCCGTGCCTGTGTCTGGCAGCGTCACCGTCCCCACGGATGGCTCTCGATGGGCCGTGCCTGTGTCTGGCAGCGTCACCGTCCCCACGGATGGCTCTCGATGGGCCGTGCCTGTGTCTGGCAGCGTCACCGTCCCCACAGATGGCTGTCGATGGGCCGTGCCTGTGTCACACACCTCCTTTGTTAAACTGTCATGGAGATTTTCAGAAAGTAAGTGATTTTTACATTCTACCGGTTGTTTATGAAATGTATCTTTTTTTTTTTTTTTTGAGACGGAGTCTTGCTCTGTCGCCCAGGCTGGAGTGCAGTGGCGCGATCTCGGCTCACTGCAAGCTCCGCCTCCCGGGTTTATGCCATTCTCCTGCCTCAGCCTCCCGAGTAGCTGGGACTACAGGCGCCCACCACCACGCCCGGCTAATTTTTTGTATTTTTAGTAGAGACGGGGTTTCACCGTGTTAGCCAGGATGGTCTCGATCTCCTGACCTTGTGATCCGCCCGTCTCGGCCTCTCAAAGTGCTGGGATTACATATGAAATGTATCTTAAGAATGCTACCCATCTTTTGTTTAAAACGTTACTGAGTTTAGGGTAATTAATGTAAATTTCCTATAATATCAGCCAAAAAGTAGTAAAGGGAAATACAGGTATCATATGTATGTATATACAAAATACACACATACAAAACCCCATAAATACAAAATGCAAGTTTGGGTTCCAAGGGAGTCTGCCAGAAAAACGTCAACCAAGAAGATGTTCTCTAGCAGAATCCCAGCCGTTGGTTCAGGCGAGGGATCAGCAGCTGCTGAGATAACTGGGAAGGATGTTGAAGAAGGGATGTTGGCACACATGCCCAAGGATCATGCCACAGAGAACTGGCTATTTGCAAAGGACAAGCATGTTCCCAGAGTCATCTGGGGTCACCAGCTGATCTGCATGATAAAACTTAGATCCCTAATTGTGGGACCACCTGATGTGCCGTGTCCCCAGTGTGAGTCATCTCTGCAGTATACCTCCCAAAAATGTTTACTCTGATCTAACCAAGCATTCGTACCTAACTTCGAGTTTATGGGTAGTATAAGAGCTAGAGGAACAAGCTAAATGACAATGAGGGATACTTTACAAGACACTTCTTCAAAAAGTCAATTTTAGTTTTTTAAAAAAAAGTGTGAGAAGGACGTGGGAGGTGCTCAAGATTAGAAGAGACTGAAATGGTCCCTCTAGGGGAAAGGAATGTGCCCGCGCTCCCCAGCCAGGCTCCCTGACAGCCCCGGTGTACAGAACTTGACAAGAGAAACATAAGGCCATCTTTTTTCCATTGTGACTGTAACATCTTTGCCCCATCCTGGGATTCAGGAGCCTCTGGAATGTCTATGGAGACAGAGTCTCATACAAGTGGATATTTTTAGTTCCATTTTGGAAAAATGCAAAGATAAGAATCTCTGAAAGTTACCAATATCAAACACATTATTTACAATGCACCATTAGTGGTGAGTAAAATTCCCTGTGTTATGTTCACTAAGTCCTGGAGGAAACTTCTCTGAGATTGGCGGTGCTATGGAAAATTACAAAATCTGCAATTTATAAAGGTGGTCCGCCAGTCTAGACTAATAATGACATTGGAAAGTGCTGTGACATGTGAGACAAGAAGCATCTGGTGTGTGACAAACACAAATACGTCACATATCGAGAAAGAAGAGGAGGTGACACAGCTTGAAGACCTCCCACGCCAGAGTTGAAAGCCTGAGTCAACCGCCAGGGATGTTTTGAATCATGTTTTAAATAGACTGTGCCACAGGAAAATCTTATTTCTTCCACACAGTGTGATGTTGCTACTTTTATTAAGTGAATGTCCTTTTTGTGTGTTTTAAGGTAAAAGTGGTTAAGGCAGTGGTGTTCAATCTTTGGGCTTCCCTGGGCCACATTGGAAAAAAGAAGAATTATCTTGGGCCACACATAAAATACACTAACAGTCACTGATAAGCTGGAAAAAAAAAAACCCACACACACACACACGCGCGAAAAAAATCGCAAGAAAATCTCAAATCTCAAAATGTTTTTAAGCTTACACGTTTGCATTGGGCCTCATTCAAAGCCGTCCTGGGCCATTTACGGCCCGCAGGCCGTGGGTTGAACAAGCTTGGTTTAAGGCGTGCGTGTGCCTCATTTTCATGACTCTCTGCTTTAAGGGGCTCTTTCTATTTGACCAGTTACTGACCAGTCATAGGCCTGGCAGGTGGATGGCTTCCCCTGTAATTCTAATGTTGCAGGCTCTGCATTGGCCACACAGCCAGCAGGGTGGTATGAGTGTAGTAATAATAGCATTTAAGAATGTATCCTCACGTCACTTCCTGTGGAGGCACTAGTCGGGATGGCAGCAGGGCACCAGCCCTGGTGGTGCGGCTCTTCCCAGCAGGTTTCAGTCCCTCTTCAAGGACTAAGCTCTAGGATTTGGAAATCTTGGTTTCCCAAAGCTGGCACACACTAGACCCACAAGAGGTTCTGTGAAGATAGGGTTCCTCAGGCCAGGCGCAGTGGCTCACACCTGTAATCCCAGCACTTTGGGAGGCTGAGGCAGGTGGATCACCTGAGGTCAGGAGTTCAAGACCAGGCTGGCCAACATAGTGAAACCCCATCTCTACAAAAATATAAAAATTAGCCGAGCATGATGGCGAGTGCCTGTAGTCCTAGCTACTCGGGAGGCTGAGGTGGGAGAATCGCTTGAACCTGGGAGGCGGAAGTTGCAGTGAGCCAAGATTGCCCCATTGCACTCCAGCCTGGTGACAGAGCGAGACTCCATCTCAAAAAAAAAGAAAATAGGGTTCCTCAAACAGGCGAACCTGTGAGATGCACATTATATTCCTCTCTGGGAGGCCCCTAACACACGGTAAGTTACTAAAGACAGCCTGGCTATGACAGTGGACCTGGTGCCAAACTAGCCCTCCTGCCACAGACAGATAGAAAACTAGGAAACAGCTCTATTCAGGCAGTGGACAGCAGGCAGCACGCGCCTGCAGGCTCTGAGGAGGGAGTTCCAGCGGCAGCCCTGTGACCGCCCCATTCCTTACCTGGGACGCTTCCCAAGCAGAACACAGTGCTTCTGAGTGGAAGAAGCAGAGCTCAGCATCTGGCAGCTAGAGTGTGCAGACAGGGCCCTGGAGAGAAGGGGAGCTGTGCAGAGCAGGGGCCCCCCAGTCGGACCACAGCTGTGGGCAGGGCAACGTGGGCCCCAGAGTAGAACACCCCTGCTTGCGTTCCATTCCACACGGACAGTTCCCATCCTAACTTCTCTGTAAAAGGAGTCAAAGTCTGTCACCCTATAATGAGTGCCCCTGGCTCTGCCCGTTGTAGGTTCACAACAAGTCCAGCTGCCTCTTCAGGAGTAGTGCCCCTCCTCTTGCCACCGTGGTTTGCCTGGCAGGCCACGAGGCCGGGCAGCTCTGAAGAGGTGATTTCTACACACAGGGTGATTGAAAGTGAGGGTCAAACCAACAAGCCTTGAAGCTGAACTGGCTCCCCTTGTTCTGGAGATGGCGCCACTGCACTCCAGCCTGGGCAGCAGAGCAAGACTCTGTCTCAAAAAAAAAAAGACATGCAAGAGAACTCTTCCTGCCAAAGGCAGGTCCCTCCAACTGGGCATGGCAGGGCCAAGACGGTAAAATGTAGCTTGCTCTAAGCCTGCAACTCAACCTCTGAATCCCACCTGCACACGATTTGGGTCCCTGCACATGGTATTGGGTGAAAGCAGCAGCTGGGACTTCCTTATGGAGAGGGCCATAGAGGTAATTTACAGAAGAGTTGAGAGTTTTAAGTAGAGTGGCCTCTGTCTGCTGTGTCACAGTGACAGTGCCGAGTGCAGCCTTGGGAACGATGGCTGAGAACTGGTTTGTAGAAAGTGCAGCCCGCCTTGCTTTGACACTTGCCGATGGACGAGTGTAGCAGGCAGGGGGCCAGGACTGCTCTGTCTTTCCTCTGCTGACCTGAATGTGGGCTTGGCCGTCATAGTGACTGGCCCAGGGTTGGGTATGGACAGGTAACTTGCACTTGGGATGTAGCTGAAGGTGGCCAGGATGCACCAAGAGGCCATGGAAGGTCCCGTGAGGTGCCAGGGAAGACCCACACCTGCTCGCCATCTTCTGAGTAGGAAGGAGGAGGGTGGCTAGTGGCCCCCCACCAGAGTTGAGGGCTGTGGGCTGAGGGCTGGGCTGTTTGGTTCTGAAGGCTTTTCTCCTGTGTGTGTCCCCAGATGAACGACAATCTCCTTGAGAGCTGGAGCGACCTCGATGAGCTGAAGGGAGCCAGGAGCCTGGAGACGGTGTACTTGGAGCAGAACCCCCTGCAGAAAGACCCCCAGTACCGGCGAAAGGTCATGCTCGCCCTCCCCTCCGTGCGGCAGATTGACGCCACGTTCGTCAGGTTCTGAGTCCTCCTTGCTCCTCCTATGGTCCCTGTCCTCGGAAGAACTGCCCAGCCACGGTTTTTTAACCCACCTGTTGCTCCTGAGGTCATCACTATATCAACAGTCAAAAACCCAATGGCAATAAAGGCACTGAGGATAGCTGACGCGCGATGCCACGCGCCATTTTCAGATGCCATTGCAATTAAACCTTGCCACACGGTCCTCCTGGGTGATTGTGGACAGTTATTGTAGCCACAGAGAGCACATAAGACACGTTGCGTTCATTCACTAGAAATTCCTTTCTGTTTCCTTCTCTCAGAAGGCGGTCATGGTCCCCACCTGGGTTGTGTGAAACAGGGCCTGAGAGTGCTTTACAGGTATTCACGTGCTGTCCGAGTGGCATTCAGGGGCTGGCCCAGCTGGCCCTAGTCCTGGTGTGCAGGGTTCAGGCAGTCCTGACCTGCAACAACTGAGGTTTTTTAGTCTTTTAAACCAGACAATGCTAATCTTTTAAAAATTAGGTAAGTTAAAAAACATGGGTAAAAGCTAACTCAGTCCTGTGTGCTTGTGTTCCTTAGAGCTCTCCTTTAAAGAGTGCCGGGCAGGGCTGACTGCTTTCACGTGTGCCTGTCAGTTCTCACCACAGCCCTTGCCTGTGAGTGAAAGCTCAGGTGTGGGGAGGGCGTCCCGTGTCCCGGCGGTGCTGTGCTGCTGCCAGGATGCGAGCCCCACTCAGCTTCTCCAAAGTTGGCCTCCAAGGATCTGAACCCTTGGCCACTTGTGTAGTGGCCTCCTGTTCTCACCCCATTGTTATTTTGGCTTTTTTAATATAAAATGTACATTGACAGACACCCGAGGTCTGGATTTAATGCTACCAGGGCATCGTCACCTCCCAGGGTCTCAGATTTCTCCTCCCACAGAATGAGGGCCACATCATGTGGTCACCAAGGTCCCTTCTGCCTCCAGGACTCCAGACTCTAGAACCGTCTACTTGAGGAACCAGGACTCTAGAACCGTACTGTCCAGTGTGGTGGAGGCTGTAGTGAGCCACGATTGTACCCACTCCAGCCTGGGTGACAGACGGAGACCCTGTCTCAAAAAAAATAAAAAATTTTAAAAGGCCCCAAATTAATACCCAGCCATCTGTTCTTTAACAGACATTTTTACAAACATACAAAAAATGTGGAAGCAGTGAGAAAATGTATGCTAAATCCAGCACAATCCTAATCAAAATGCCTTTTTTTTTTTTTTTCACCCAGGCTGGAGTGCAATGGCACAATCTCAGTTCACTGCAACCTCCACCTCCCGGGTTCAAGTGATTCTCCTGCCTCACCCTGCCTAGTAGCTGGGATTACAGGCACCCGCCACCACACCCGGTTGATTTTTGTATATTTAGTGGAGATGGGGTTTTGCCATGTTGGCCAGGCTGGTCCCAAACTCCTGACCTCAGGTGATCTGCCCTCGGCCTCCCAAAATGCTGGAATTACAGGGGTGAGCCACCGCGCCCAGCTGCCATTTGATTTTTTGAGACACATTAAATTTTAAAATTTACTTTTTTTTCCTTTTTTTTTTTTTTTTTGAGACAGAGTCTTGCTCTGTCGCCAGGCTGGAGTGCAGTGGCGCAATCTATGCTCACTGCAAACTCCGCCTCCCAGGCTCAAGCGATTCTCCTGCCTCAGTCTCCAGAGTAGCTGGGACTACAGGCACGCGCCACTATGCCCAGCTAATTTTTGTATTTTTAGTAGAGACAGGGTTTCGCCATGTTGGCCAGGATGGTCTCAATCCCTTGACGTCGTGATCCACCCACCTCTACCTCCCAGAGTGCTGGGATTACAGGCGTGAACCACTGCGCCCAGCTTTTTCTTTTTCTTTTTTTGGCGACCAGGGTCTTGCTGTATTGCCCAGGCAAGTCTCAAACTCCTAGGTTCAAGCTATCCTTCCATCTCTGCCTCCCTAAGAGCTGGGATTATAGGTGTGAGCCACTGCGCCTGACAAATTCTAAAATTGATATGGAAGAAAAAAGTCAACACTGTAGTTCAATTCATTTTGAAAAAGCTGGGAGAGACGCTTTCCTACCAGATCCTGAGTGCTGCAAACCCACAGTGAGAGTGTGGGGGAGGCGTGACCTAACAGCACCAAGACAGGGACCCAGGGGACTCGGGGACTGGGAAAACCTCAGCGGGGCCGGGGACTCGGGGGCTGGGAAAAGTGTCAAGACAGGGATACCTCAGCAGGGACCCGGGGGAATCGGGGACTGGGAAAAGTGTCCCGGGGTTTGGGAGGGGTGGACAGTGTCCTCGTGGTGTTGGCAAAGTGTGCTATGTGGAAAAATGAACACTGCCCCTCCCTGGCATCACACGCAGGGTGGGCTCCAGAGTGATTGGTGATTCCTATGCAGTGGTAAAATAGAAAATTAGTAGAAAATAATATGGGAGGCTGGGCGTGGTGGCTCGTGCCTGTAATCGTAGCACTTTTGGAGGTCAAGGCAGGTGGATTGCTTGACCTCAGGAGTTCAAGACCAGCCTGGATAACATGGTGAAAACCTGTCTCTACTTTAAAAAAACACAAAACTTAGCCGGGCGTGGTGGCAGCCACCTGTAGTCCCAGCTACTCGAGAGGCTAAGGTGGCAGAATCGCTTGAACCTGGGAGGGAGAGTTTGCAGTGAGCCGAGATCTCGCCACTAGCACTCCAGCCTGGGCAACAGAGTGAGACCCTGTCTCACACCCAAAAAAAAAGAAAAAAGAATGTGGGGGCCGGGCGCGGTGGCTCAAGCCTGTAATCCCAGCACTTTGGGAGGCCGAGACAGGAGGATCACGAGGTCAAGAGATCGAGACCATCCTGGCCAACACGGTGAAACCCCGTCTCTACTAAAAAATACAAAAAAAAAACTAGCCAGGCGAGGTGGCGGGCGCCTGTAGTCCCAGCTACTCGGGAGGCTGAGGCAGGAGAATGGCGTGAACCTGGGAGGCGGAGCTTGCAGTGAGCTGAGATCCGGCCACTGCACTCCAGCCTGGGCGACAGAGCAAGACTCCGTCTCAAAAAAAAAAAAAAAAAGAATGTGGAAAGGTGGGTATGTGAGCTAGCAGTGGAGAAGAGCTTAAAACTCCCCAAGGCCAGGTGCCGTGGCTCACGCCTGTAATCCCAGCACTTTGGGAGGCCAAGGTGGGCGGATCACAAGGTCAGGAGTTCAAGACCAGCCTGGCCAACATGGTGAAACCCCGTCTCTGCTAAAAATACAAGAAATTAGCCGGGTGTGGTGGCGGGCGCCTGTAATCCCAGCTACTCGAGGCTGATGCAAGAGAATTGCTTGAACCCAGGAGGTGGAGGTTGCAGTGAGCCGAGATTGTGCCATTGCACTCCAGCCTGGGCAACAGAGCAAGACTCTTATCTCGAAAAAAAAACAAACGAAAAAAACTCCACAAGCACAACTGTAAGACAAGATTTTGATGGGTTTGTTTACATAAAATTTTACATAGAACAAAAATAAGGAATAATGCATGAATAATGGCAACAGTAGATTAAGAGAAGGTGTTTGCAGCCTTTAAAATTGGCAAGGCTTACTATTTAGAACTCCCACACATCAAATAAAGGAGACAGGAATCCTGACGGAAACGCAGGCCAAGGGCCGGAGTGGGCCACTCAGAGACCAGGGGCCAGTGGCCTGTGTGGAGCCGCCGTCTACAGGCAGCTGGGGTGCTGGCTGCACCTGCAGACAGGAAGGTTAGAAAGCGGGCAGTGCAGGCATCCAAGAGTCCGTCCCCTGCGACCCAGCCACTGTCCATCCAGCAGGGCTCGCGTGTGGCCGGGGCGCAGTGCCAGGGTCCTCGCGGAGGGAGCCCTGCACATGCCTCCAGCCTCAGAAGGAGGCTGAACTTGAGGTCGGGCTCCTGACCACCACTACTTGCACCTCCACTAACTACACCCCTAAATATGTCCGTAAATGTTACCAAGATTGGTATAAAAAGTTATAGCCAAAGGAAGATGGTGCAGCAGATTCTGGGCCTGGGCTCCTCCACTGCCTGGAACCCAGCGAGCCCCCTGTGCTGGCTGTTGCGGCTTTTCTGCCTCCCTCCCTTCTTTCCTTTCCTTCAAAAGTAACACAACTTGAAAAACCACCCACCCAAACAGAGTTGTCTGAAGTGAAAACGGAAAGACATTCCCCGGGCCGAACCCCTTTAGGTGCTGTGCGTGCACGTGTCCCTCAGAGGGCTCCCACTGCAGTGTGGTCACCTCCAGCAGCCGGTCCTGCAGCTCTTGAGTAGACAGCCCTGAGGCCACCAGAGCCACTTTGTCACCAGGAGCAGAGAGCCAGGAGCCCCTGGGAGGTGGCACATCTTCCTGGGAGGGTCCTCGGCCAGTGACTGAGCAGAGTGAGAGCCCACAGTTGCATCCAGGTGAGGAAACGCTGAGCCTTGCCTCCCCTGCAGAGTGCCCATGGCAGGCAGAGGCCGCCCTCCACAGGAATGGGGAGATGGGGCCCCGCGCATCCTCCTCCCCTCCTGCCTCCCAACTCCTTTCCTGGTTTCCGGAGCACTTCCCCAGCCCAGCCTTGTCCAGGGATCCGTCTCAGGCGCCTGCAGGCCGAGCTGGGCCACAGCAGAGACCCTCATGCAGATGCCCTGAGGTCCGGAGCCCCAAGGTCCTGCCGCCCAGGCTCTGCTGGTCCTGACAGAATCCGGCCTGCAGGGCCTTCCCGCTGTTCCAAGGCACAACACAGGTCCAAGAACAGGGCTCCCTGGGAGGTGCCAAGCACAGAGGGGCATAGCTATAGGGGAGAGCTGCAGCCAGGATGAGGGTCCGCCTGGAGGGATTTCAACAGGAGGAAGGGGGCACCTGGAACAGCAAGCTGGGCTTGGGGGTCCCCAGTGGAGTTGTGCGGGGAGGGCAGGGAGCATGAGTGGTAGGTTCTCAGACCCTGCCGGGCACCGAGGAGGAAAGGGGGAGAGGGAGGGAGAGGGGAAGAGGAGGAGCAGGGAGAAAGGATAGCAGGAGAAGGAAGAGGAGAGGGAGAAGTGGGTGGGGGAGGAGGGGGGAGAAACGATAGGAGGAGGGAGAGTGGGGAGAAAGGATAGGTGGAGAAGGAGGAGGAGTAGGGGGGAGAAATGATAGGAGGAGAAGGAAGAGGGGGAAGGTGGAGAGAAAGGATAGGAGGAGGAGGGGGAAGAAGGAGGAGAAGGAGGAGAAGGAGGGCAGAGAGGATGGGAGGACAGCTAGGACCCCTGCTGTCCTTTTGCAGATGCGGCCCTGAGCATGGGATGTGCCTGAGGTCACCCCTCAGGCATTAGCAGAGCCAGCACTGTGACCTGGGTCTACCAATCTCCCCAGCCCCCAGGTGAAACCCTGGCCCACCACTCAGCACATGCTACGTAACCTCAAGGAGCCTCAGTTTCCCTCCATGTAAACACAGCTTGCTAGGCTGCCTGGCGGGGCTTGCAGCAGAGGTGGCACCTGTGGCTGTTCCTGCGGAATCCCACCTCCCCGTGACCCTCCAAGGCAGCAGTTATGACAGCTGATGCCAGCCCTGAAATCTCTAAGCAAATAAGGATCCCAGGAGGGCGGCAGCATTTGCATGCGGGTGTGTGAAAGCCCAGCCCAGTGGGCTGCCTCTGTTTGCAGCTCTGAGCCCCACACCCCTTTTTTAAACAAAGACAGATCCTGCTCCAGGAGCCAGGAAGCCTTTCCCTGGCCAGCTGTGCTGGGCCCCTCCCCTGCCTGCCTCCTGGCCCACGTGCAGGCAAGGAGAGGGCATGCGAGTGGCTGCCACTGCCTGGGCGGGGCTCCAAGGGCTGCCCCTCCCCACCCTCTGTCCCGTAGTGGTGCCCGGACTCTACTGCCAAGACCAGGCTCACGCCGAGAGGTGGGCTATGACCTCCGAGGCCTCTTCTGGAAGCCACTGTGCCAGGTGAGGACCCAGCCTAGACGTGCGGGCCACGGGGAGAAGGTGGAGCGTTGGACTCTAGGGAGGCAAGGCGGCACCCCAGCCCACCAGGACCTTCACACACCCTGGCCTGTGGGGAGGCAGTGCCAGGGCCCGCCCTGGTCCCCAGAGCCCCATGGGGCACAAGGAGGGACACACGCTCACTGCGGCTCTGGACAGGGCACACCCAGGGTTGGTTTCCTGCCTGCCCAGGTACTCCCCCATGGAGCAGGTCCCTTCGCTGGGGTGGGGGCATCCCCCATTCTTTCTGCAGAGAGCTCTGAGGAGGGGCCCGCCTGCCCACCACAGCGGGATGGGGGCACGGGGGGCTGAGGGGTGGCCGAAACAGCGGGATGGGGGCACGGGGGGCTGAGGGGTGGCCGAAACAGCGGGATGGGGGCACGGGGGGCTGAGGGGTGGCCGAAACAGCGGGATGGGGGGCGGGGGGCTGAGGGGTGCCCACCACAGCGGGATGGGGGGCGGGGGGCTGAGGGGTGCCCACCACAGCGGGATGGGGGGCGGGGGGCTGAGGGGTGCCCACCACAGCGGGATGGGGGCGGGGGGCTGAGGGGTGGCCGAAACTCCTCGGGGACTCTCCAGGAACACCCCTCGGTCCGTAGTGAGGCTCCCAGCCTGGGGCCGGGGCTGAGTCCTAACACTGACACCTGGCTTGGGCTTCAGGGGCAGGCAGGCGCAGGTGGTCCGCGCTCAGTCTCTGTCTCTCTGGGCCTCTGCTAATCCGAAGTGAAGGGTAGGACTAGAAGGTCACCCCATCCGACCTCCTGTGGTGCCTCCACGGTCACACCCTCCGGTCATTATCGCAGCTCAAAACGCCAGCCCCAGCTCGAAACCCCTCCCTCCAGGGCCACAGATGTCATGCTCTTGGCCCCGTTTTGCCAGCCCGAGACTGGGAGCCACAGCACCTGTCCTCCCACAGAGAGAGACCCCTGGGGCTAAGGTGCGGGAGGAAGCTGGGACCCCCAAGAGGAGTGAGGCCGGGCTCCATCAGGCCCACCTTGCTGGGGAGCTCAGGGCCTCGGGGTCCTGGCATTGGGTCCTCAGGCCATGAGCGAAGGCAGGCGACTTGAGGGGTTGCCTGTCCCTGGCTCACATAGCTCCACCCTACAGATAAGAGAGGGAGGGTTGTCTGTACTCCAGGCCCCCCTTTCCGGGCCTTCTCAGGCTCCACTGAGTACCCAGGCAGAGGGGACGGTATTCAGGACTGGGGGACACGGGCACTCACTGGATGGACAGACGGACAGACGCCTGCTGTGCCGGGCCTGCCAGACACTCCCTCCCCAGCACTGGTTTCTCCCTGGAACTAGTGACGGGCTAGGAGGTTCTCCACGTGCTCATGGCCAGGAGTCTGCCGGGCCTGCACGGCCCCATTCTACTCTGAGTCAAGTCTGTAAAGTGAGCTCACTGCAGGCAGTGTGGTGGCTCCAGGAGTGGGTCTCACGCATCTCCTCTCTGACCCCCGTCCCCACCCAACCTTGGCGGGTGCAGGAGCAGGATGCTGCGGCGGCGGGCCCAGGAAGAGGACAGCACCGTCCTGATCAATGTGAGCCCCCCTGGGGCAGAGAATAGGGGCCCTTACGGGAGCACAGCCCACACCTCGGAGGTAACACAGCGCCCAGGAGACCGTGGTGCGACTTGGGAGGTCCTCCGCTGCCTGGGTCTATGTCCCCACCCTGGGCCCAGAGCCTTTGGGGGTGGATGGGCATCACCGTGTTTCCCCTGCATCCACTGGCAACCCCCAAGCCCTCGCCACCCTGTCCTCAACACACAGTCAGATCACCGCCCGCCTGGCCCGGCCTGGCTGTGGAGAACTGAGCAGAACCCACTGGTGTTCAGACAGGAGCCCCAGGAGGGTAAGGGGGGCCCGGCCAGGCAAAGGCAAGACCAGGGCAGGGCCCTCCCTGTGGGGCCAGTCCCAGTCAGTGCAGAGCCACAGCAGCACCCAGGTCCATCTGTAGGGCTCCACCTCGTCACTAGGAGGCCATGGATGCGCTGTGAGCCTGTGGGGAGAGGCTGAGTCCCGGGCCTTCAAGGCCATGCAGGTGGCCCTGGCCGTGGAGGGCCCTCTTCCTGGTTCTTCTGGGCCACCCATCTGCCCCAGCAGCCTGCGGGTGGACATGGGGCCCCTTCCTGCTGCCCCAAGCACAGCTGAGATGAGCCTCCAGGGAGGGCGCAGGGCCTCTCACCTCGAGCATCTAGACACTCTCGGTCGCCATGGCCACCTCTGTCCTCAGGGCCACTTTGGGAGCAGTCCGGCTCCCCTCTGCCCCTGGAGGCCAGCAGGGTAGGCACCCCTGCTCCTGGCCATGCTTCCCGCCAACCTGACCCTTGCCATGGGCCTGACCTGAGGAGGAGGGGAGCCGGCTGGAGGCCCGGGGCTGGTGGTGCCCTCTGGCCCTGCCTGCCACTCCCCGAACCTGTGCTTCCCCCCGCCAACCTCCACCCCTACCCACCCGCCACACACTCTTCTGTGGTCCTGAGTGTTCTGGGGCAGGGCAGGGACGGGTTGGAGGCGAGGACGGCTGCAGGGTGGGGTGGGTTGGAGTGGTCATCGTGGGCAGATGTTGATATGCTCCTCCATCCTCCGTGCCTTCCAGCCAGGTGGACAGCAAGCGGCCGCCTGCAGAGCTGGAGCTGGGAGCCCTGCCAAGCCCCGGATTGGTGAGCCCCTCCCAGCATCTGTACCACACCCGTGTTGGTCCTGAGGGTGGGGACACCACTGGGGTGCCCCCAGGGGCAGCAGGCCGGGGGTGGCCTCCTCAGTAACCAGGACACTCTGGGGCCAGTTGCTTGGGGATGGGGCACTGGGGTGAGGGCCTCGGGGTGAGCAAACCATAGCAGGAAAAACAGCAGGAAAGGGGGCTCCCTACTGATGGGGTGGGGCCAGGAGGGCTCTGGAGAGAAGACAGGGCGGCCCCCTCCCTCCTGCTCTCGTCCCCTCTACCATCCTCCAGCTGTTCAGCCACAACTCAGGTCATTTCTGACTCTTATCTCTTGCACTCCACCCCTTTTATACCTTCAAACTCTCTTTGATCCACCCCCAACCCACTGCCTCTGTCTGCCTGGAGCTACCACCAACTCCCAGGGGATTGCACCAGCACCGCCCGGGCTCCCAGCACCCACCCTACCCACCCTGCTGTCCCCTCAGTCCCAGAGAGACCCTAACCTCCTCCCACCAGGATGGCTACTACTTAAAAAAAAAATC